ACCCCATCAGTGCCGACCCAACTACACCACCACGCGCATGCCTCGCGGCGGATATGCGCAGCAGCAAGAAGGTTTCGGTCATCCCTTGAGGGTGAGTCTAGCCCTGCTCGCCAGAAAGACCCCCCCCTTCACTACAACCCATGTCTAAGCAAAAGCTTGTCGAGGAGCGAGGGGAAGAAGGGAGAAGTACACGACAAAGAGGGAATGGACTGCTGAATGCTTTTCGGGGACATGAAGTCAAGCACTGTATGTAGGACATAATGTGGAGAATTCCTCGTGTGTTACCCCGGCTGGTGGGGCAAACACACACCGAAACGTGTACATAGGCGCAAAGATGAACGACACGAGACAATTTTTTACACATCTACGCATAGATAGGTACTTATTTCGGAGGATTTTTTTTTTGGGGGGGGGGTACAAAGTGACTACCCCCCCCCAGAATGCTGTTCCAAATCCGATTTACAAAAAAAAAACCATACCATACCAAATCCTTTATAAAAGGGGAACCGTGTGCGCTCAAGGGGGACCACAGTGCATCTGCGTGCCCCCCTATAGCCATGTGCGTGCGCATAGCGCCAGCGCGCCAGTACGGGCCGCCTGTAGCATGCACGCTGTGTGCTGCGTACCAGCTAGGCAAGAGGGAGAACGTGATCAACGCACCCTCAGGGGGGGGGGGGTAGGCCTACAGCCCAGGCGCCTTTCCAGCAGCAGGATTGGCTGCAGCGACTCTGTACAAGGAGAAGCGACACTGAAGGTCGCGTCCACCGCAGATAGATTCATTCATTGAATTTATCTCTGTGTGTGTTGTGTGTTTTCGTCCTATTTATTATGGCAACAGTCCCCCCCATTTTTCGTGGTGAGACGTGTACTAGACTTTTCAGCGTATGTAGAGTACTACACTTTTCAGTGTATTTTTTCGAACAACTACAATCATCCAGGGTCACACATGAGGGGGTAAACACCAGGGCTTTTTTCTTCTTTTTATTTATTTTCATGCCCCACCTTNCATCCAGGGTCACACATGAGGGGGTAAACACCAGGGCTTTTTTCTTCTTTTTATTTATTTTCATGCCCCACCTTCCTCCTGCGGTGCGTGCTGAATTTTTTATTTTTATCGCGAGATGGGTCCAGCCGTCGCTTTCCCTCGTCAACGGTGTCAACGTCGAAGTTTGGTACTCACAAGAAGAGCTTTTTAGCTATTTTTCGCTTAACCCCTCTGGGACTGGGCTCCTCCCAGCCCGCAAGGCGAGCAGCCTGGAAATGCGGCGGGACTATTCGAAAAATA